AACGAGCTAACTGGCAGGCGCAGATGTAGATGCAACGAACTCAGTTATTTGATAAACTATAAAAAATGAAGATGTAGTTATGTTGAAAGTAGATAGCTTCGGTAGAGGAGGAGACTGATTCTGAGTTGATGTTGTATTCTTACTTTTGGACATCTATAGTTGATTATTTTTGGATATTTATATAGTTTTAAATGAACAAACTTTAAATTTTATTTTAAACTATTTGGTGAATGGTCAATAAATTTGAAATGTTTGTATTTATATGCTTATATTCAATATTTGATGGTGATTTTAATTAGATTTTAATGTTTAAATGAATATAATTTTATAATATTTTATTACAGGTTATGTTATAGAAAATAATTTTCTAAGAGGGAGGGCTACCTTTTTTTTACGTTAAAGGTTTCCAATGAATTGCCGGTGGATAATCTGCCAGGAAACAATAATATATCAAAAAGTATCGATGTTCTGATAAATTTTTTTTGCCTATATTTATGTCGTATTATCCGCTGAATTCTACCATAAATATTTTGTTGCGAATATGATTTCAGAAATAAAATTTTGATGAAAGCAAATACTTATGTTTTTTTGATAGCAAATACTTATGTTTCTCTATGACTGCCTTGCCTATTAACACTTCAGGTCCACAAGATTAAACTATAATTTGAACTAACTTAAGATTAGGTGGACTAGGTCTGGGTCAGTTTGTAATGTACAAAACTGTATCTTTTACCTTTTCTTGAGTCCATTGTAATATTATAGGTGCTGATGCTAAGTAACCTTGCTCACACAAATTTGGGAGAATTTTTTTTAACTATTTTAGAGTTTTCTATTTTTGCTCACATCGTTCGAGATGATCCAATAATTGGCCAGGACGATTAGTTAAAAATAGAAATTGTAATTAGGTCATCCAAGTTAAGGCAGTCATAATTAAGCACATCATCCTAGATGATTTTCGTATTGGCCAGAATAATAGGCTCAAATCAGAATGAATCAACTACCAGATCTACTTAGGTATCTTTAATTTTTGGACATCATTCAGTATATTATCCTGAATGATGCAATATAATTATGCCTAAATTAATCTTATAATTAAGAAAAATAATTAAAGGAGAGTGTGAAAGGATGAAGGTTCTCTGCTTACACCTAGAGAGTGTGAAAGAATGAAGGTTCTCTACGTACACTTGGAGGCTGTGAAAGGATAACAATTCTCTGTCGTGCTAGAGATTGGTGGAATAGAGTTTTTGTAAAGGCTTATCCACCTTGCTGTGGGAGCAAAAGGACAGTCACTTTGGTATTGTGCAATACCTGAAGTTGGAGACTTCAGGGAGTGGATGTAGGTTATGTTTGACCGAACCACCATAAACTCTTGTGTCTTTTTATTTTTGATGCTTTTTATTTTCTACAAGTTTTTAATTTTTCTATGGTTGAAAAATTATTTTAAACAAAAAAATTTAAATCAACTTTCTCAAGTTCATTAATCGGTTTCTATATTTTTAAAATCCAAGAAAGGATAAAGTTTTTAAAATTACCAATTCACCACCACTCTTGGTTAGCCTTGGGACATTAGATTAGGTCTAACATCCTATTCTAGAAACAACAAGATTCAACATTTTGTAATTTGATTTCCTGAAAATAAAAAAAATATTGCCCAAGGATAATTCATTTGCCTCACTCTTTAAATATGATGATGCAAATACTATTCAATTGACACGTTCCTTTGTAATACATTTCTCTTTTAGTTTTTATATTATTCAATTGCACCATAATATTGCATTCTTATTTGGGATGTTATTGCTCTAAGGCTTAGCAAAATTAGCTTTCTTGTTAATTAGGAATCTTAGGCTTCGTTTGTTACATCTTTAAACCACTTTTTTCACTTCTTTTTAGAGTTTTTTTAACTAAAAAACATCTTTATAAAATAGTAAGAAAGTCATCTCAAATGAAACCTTTCGTTTGGGACAACTTTCTTACTACTTCTTAAAGAAGCTTTCTAGTATAACAAATAATTTTTATACAAGAAAGTTGCTTTAAGAAGCAATAAGAAAGCCATCCCAAATGAAGCTTTAGTTGATTAGGAATCTTTGTTTATTTTTTTATTTTTCTTTTATTATTTTTTATTTGGAATCTTAGTTGATGATTAAGATTTCAAAGGTTTAGGGTTCATTGCTAGTCTTCCTTTTTCATGGTTTATCATATATGTTGGAGTTGTAAACTAATGGCTATGTGAAGAATTTATGTGAGCTATTTCTACCTATAATATATTTTTGCTTTTTGTAGTATATTTTGTGGGGCATCTTTATTTTTTGGTCAGTTGTTATAACAAATTGATTTTATCACTTTGATCTCTTTTTTGAACAACTTACTTTATCCTTTGTTCATGTACATAGGAAGTTTGAAGTATCTTGTTTTAGAATATAGATAGTTCCACCACTATATAATTCTAAATTTATGAAATGGAAATTGCATTTTAATTAAAGAAAAAAAAGCTTATGAAATTCTCACATGTGTGATCCTTATGTTTGATTGGAGAATCATTTATTATAATTAAAGAAATATAAGATATTAGATTTAATGATTATATAATCTCATGAATTTAATAAACAATATATTGAATCCAAAATAATTTCATATTATTAAAATTATTTTATCAAAAAAATGTGTTGAGAAAGCACACATGGGACATTTTAGGGGTGTTGGATTATTATACTATTTCATCATACAAATATGTGATGAGAGTCACCAATAGAACAATTGATAGGTGTAATCTTTGCCCATCTTTTGTTATTAAATTGATTCATTAAGAAAACTAGTATATAGGAGTGCCTAATGGTTGTCATTAGGGAAGGTGTTCCATCAATGTGTTGCATTAATAAAGTCTGATTGTTGGGGACCTAAATGTGCCCTTAACCCTTCTCTAAAAACCACCAAAGTGATACATTTTGCTAAGCATCCTGCTAGATTATGTACCCAAACAAATATTTGTTATGACACTTTAAGGTGTTTTGATAATTAGTTATTTTTTGTTGTGTTAATTATCTAATTAAATTAAATGAGTTTTACCTGGGTTCATAGAGGATCACAATAGCTTTTAATAGCTTTGATGTATCATATAGTGATCTTCCTGTCACAATAAACTTATAACTTAAAACATTCTTCGCTGACTCACCATTAGAGGGTTTAAGATAGTTTGTGATGATTGATTAGGTCACACAAATTTAATTTATGAAGGATTCTATGGTTTGGGATTAGAAATCGGTGCCTATTGAAGGGTTAAATTCAAGGGGATTATTTGGATTCAGGGATGCAATCATGGGTGTATAGACGTAATTAGAGAGATTATCCAACTCAATAAGGGTTTGAATAGAACTTTATCCATTAAAGGAGCTTCCATTGGTTAATTTGGTGAGTTCATAGTTTTTTCTTGACTTTGATCTATATTTAAAGAACCATTCAAGCTAAGTTAACTAGTGATTGTGTCAGGTTTTAAAAATTAGTGCGAGGTTGTGCTATGGTGTTAACAAATTAACCAAGTCCAATTTGGGTTCTTTTGCACTCAAATGTTAGAGTTAGGCTTAGGTTAACCAAATTAACCTGTTTTATGTAATATGCTAAATGTGTCAAAAGTTGGGACAAAATAAGTATGACTGTAGATTATTGACTAGTAACTGAGTGTGCAAGTAGACCAATGCGCACAAATAAGAGGCCAATCTCGCATATGCCAATAATCAAGTACAAATAGGATGAGAACACAAACTCCCACAAGTGAGTAACCAAGTGCACATGTGATAAAAAGATATAAACTTTCAAACACAAGTAGTCGAGTGCATAGGGGTACAATAAGTCCGGTTCATATAGGCAAGCAGCCAGTGCACATGGTCCAAAAATATAAACTTTAATAGGCTAGTAGCTGAGTGCACATGGAATTGGAAGACTCATATAAACGGGTATTTGAGTACATCTGGGATGGGCATACACTAATATTTGTGAGTAGTCTAAGTGTGTAGTGAATGATAAGATAAACTCACATAGGAGAGTAGTCGAGTTCATGCAAACCTAACCCTTTGCTATGTTAATAAGAATTCAACAAATATTTTAGGATTGACGATAGTTTGTGGGAATTTTGTTCTAGCATGTTGTATGAATTTCAAGGTGGACTAGGGGTTAGGTCATGGTCAAGTCTATAGCTTTTAAGGCTGATTATGATTTAGGTAGGGAGCTTGGATCTAATCTACCCTATGGATTTCAAGATAAATAGGGATCATGCATGCATAAGATAGTCCAACCTATGGATGTTAAAGTTGATCAAAGTTATGCAAGTCAATGTTAAGTACCTAGTTTTATTTCATAGTTAATTAAGGTTTCATTTGTGACAGCTTTTTAATTGCTTTCTAAAACTACTTTCTAGTACAAAATTTTCTAATTCAAAAAAAAATTTAACTAAAAAATAGTTTTAGAAAGCATTATAAAAACTGTCCCAAACGAAGCCTAAATCATAATTAAGCCTATGGATGGAAAAGCAAGCTAAAGTTTAGATCTAATCTAATATATTAATTTCAAGATTGACCACAATTTTTACGACTATCCTAATAATTTCTAAGTATTAGAGTTTATTATGACTTAACTGTCCATGAATTTCTAAGATAGATGGAACTCCTAGGGTTTATTATAGCCCATGAATTTTAAGGCTAACTAATATTTGGCTAGTCTAGCCTATGAGTTTTAAGCTTAAGTAGGGTTTCCTAAAACTAACTCATACAATAAATGTTTATCATCTCTAATTAGTAGAGTGAAGCCACCTATTTTTCTTGGTGTTGTGCTCCATTGCTTCAATACTAATATCAGCCATGCCCAAGGTAAATTCTCATTTATTTGGATTGACTAGCAGAAAAAATTATGCCAAAGATCATATTCTATTCAGTTATTGAAGAAGATGAAGGAAGGCTTGGATTGTGGCAAGTTTGTGTCTCACAACAAGTGCGATGTTGGCACTTCACACGACTCAAGTAGAATTTTTTCATTACACTAATGGTATCTGGAAGCCAATTTCTCTTTACACTCATCACAGAAAAATAGAATTTTTTTATGGACAAGCCTATACTCTTAGGCTTCGTTTGAGACGGCTTTCTTACTGCTTCTTAAAGCAGCTTTCAAGTACAAAAAATTTAATTTTTGTTCTAAAAAGATGTTTTAAGAAGCGGTAATAAAGCCGTCCCAAACGAATCCTTAATCTCACATACAAATTCTTTGGACAAAATAATGATCTGCACAAATTTTACACATTCCTAAGGAAAATCTCTCAAAAAAAGCTCGACTGCATCTCCAACAGTTGAAGGTGTGCTAATATCTTAGCAATCATGGGTTTCAGGATTGGATCTCCTTTCTGAGCAAGATCAATAAGTAGATGCTGAGCAGCTTCGCCATATTTGCTTCTGTGAGCTCCAAGCCTAAAAATTCTCTCCAGCATCCAAATTGCTTTCTCCTGAGCTTTCAAGCACCCAACTTCCAGAATTCTTATGATAGCCTGCACTCCTGAAGCCTGCTCTATAGCATCACTGCCACTCTCAAAGATTGCATCCTGCAATAGAGTTGAGAGTGCACTGAGAACAGCTTCATCTGCTTCCCTTTCTTTCCCCTCCAGTATTTGCACAAGAGCAGATAAAGCACCAGATTTTACCAGGCAAAATGTGCTTTTAACAAGGCAGAGGCCATTGTGCACCCCACACAGTTTTTCTGTGGAAGGAGGAACACAGAACCACCTCGATGACTTGGCTTTGCTCAAGGAAAGAGTATTCTGAGATAGTTGAGCCAAGGAAGTTGCTGCTCTAGAGCTGGCAACAATGGAATTGGCTGACAGAAGTTTCACAAGACAAGGGATGATTCCATGAGATGCAGATATTTTCTGCAGTTTCTTATCTGAAGGAACCGTGAACCGAATCATAACAGCAGCAATGCCGTCCAGTAACCATTTCCTCGTCGGGTTCGATGGAGCTGTAATGATTGTGCCAGTTAAAGTGATCAGTAGAGGAAGTAGATTTGCGTTCATGAGAAGCTGCGTTGCCTTTTTGTCACTCACAGGTATGTTGCTGATTATGCCTACAGCAGGAGCCTTTTCCATCTCAGATGTTGCTTTTGAGATTATTTCCACCATTAGAATGAGATAGGTCTCTCCTAACTGTCCACTCAACTCTTCTGCAAAGTAAGTAGAGAGATTGAACAGTAAGTTCAAGGCAGCAATCCTGATTTCATCATTGCAACTGGATAGGAATGGCATGAGAAGCTGCAATGCTCCATTTTCTTTCATTTTAGCTCTTATTCTTTTAGCTCCGGAATGGCCAGCCATGCTATTCAGAGCCTGTAAAAGGTGTAGCTGGATGTCTGGGCTGGATAGATTAAGAAGTGAGAGCATTTGCTGAGCTGCATCTTTCTTGTGAAGAATGATTTCAGATTTTGCCAAGCTCGCGAGGATAGCAGAAGCTGGCTCACGGAGAGTCATAAGGACAGATGTGACAGAGAAGAGGACCTGAAGCAGATTTGATACGACTCCCGAATTGATGAGGCGGTCATTGTTCTCTTTCAAACAAGAGAGATTCCTTATGGCATTTAAGGCAGAAAGCTTTGCTTCCATTTTACCTGAGTTGAACATTTTGACAAGGGCTTCTATTGAACCTTCTTCTCCAAGTGTGGCTTTCATTTGATCAGTCAACTCCATCCTGGAAATTGCTGTAGCCATGAGAATCTTGTTCATATCTGAACCTGCAAATGCAATCTAATAAATTAGATAATACAGCTGGCTTACCAAACGGTAGTTGTAATAAGTACAGCCAACAATTGTAATTGAATACAAGGCAAATTGATACAGTCAAGACACGTAATGGTTTGAACTTGAAATAAAACCATAAAAAAGCGTTTACACAGTCAAACTATGTAAGAATTCAGACAAAAGAGAAGTACAACATTCCAAATAGGTGAAGATAAAGGAGTTCTTGCCAATTTTTGCCAATATGATAGGCCTCCTTCAGATATGTATCTTAAAAGACTATCTCCAACCGAACACTATACCACCATATGCTGTCTGCCATTTGCTTCATTCAAACTCCAAATCACACGCCAAATTTCGGTAGGAGAACAATGCGACGCCAATATTGACGTTTGATTGTTCACCTACGCAAAACAAATTCACTGTGGGATTTGTCGAAGAAGCGCGCAAAGGAGGAGAAAAGCGTGTCAAAGATGATTACCTTCGTAGGAAGCACACGAAAGAAGAAAAAATAACGTTTGATTGGAGATGAATGACTGCATTTTGGAGTGTATATTGGGTTTTTCGGTTGGAGATGCCCTAAACTGTCATTATAGTTCAATATTATACTTCCTCATTTCTTTTCTTGATTTTAATTATAAAGGGAAGAAATTATATATATTTGAGAAGTCAGTAGTTTGGATCTTCCAACTAGATGTACAAGATGAACTTGTTAAATAGCCTAATATAAAAATCACATTTTAAGGTCAAGTGAAATAAGTAATGGATAGCATCAAGCATATGGACAAACTGTCATTTTCAAAACACACACAACATCCTAACTTTCAAAGTTCCGCTAGAAAGGAATTTGCATAATTACCTTCCTTCAAGTACTGCACCAAAGGTACAAAGAAACCAGCCTCGGCCATTAGAAGCACATTCTGTGTGTTGCTTGATAAAGCTGCCAACAACTTTCCCGCATCGTAAGAAGCAGAAGAATCACATCCATTAAGCAAGGTGACCAACATCATAATACAACCCTGGACTCTTCCAATCCTTTGTCTAACTTTCACTAGATCTGCTAAATGCAAAAGCAGTGCAACTGCTTCCCTGCTCTCATCTACATCCCTTGCCAAAGACTTCACAATACTAGATAGAGCCTCCGGATTCGCCATCATCTCCTGCAATGCAGAAAGCAATATAAAATGAAAAAAAAATTCTTCCACAATCGCGATCATGTCAACTTAGGCTTCGTTTGGGACAGCTTTCTTACCTCTTACTACTTAAAGCAGCTTTCCAGCAAAAAAAATTAAATTTTATATTAGAAGGCTGCTTTAAGAAGCGGTAAAAAAGCCGTTCCAAAGGAAACATTAATCCCATTAAATCTTTATATCTTCTATGAGAGCAAACACCCAAAATTCCATCTTAGCAATTCTCTCAGGGCATAAACAGACTAGGAAATCTGAATGTAAAATTTCAAAGGTCATAACAGTAAGCATAATTTAGGCTTCATTTGAGATGACTTTTTTACCGCTTCTTAAAACAGCTTTTTAATATAAAAATTTTAATTTGTGTACTAAAAAGCTGCTTTAAGAAGCAGTAAGAAAGTAATCCCAAACAAAGCCTTAATCACATCTTGTTTGTCATATTTATTAGATGTTCTTGATCTGCCACATAAACTAGCCTTTTTGCCTTTTTTAATCACTAAATTTCTCATAAAACAAATGGATACTTGCAAACCACAGGATTATAAACTGAAGGTGATTAACGAGATTATTAACCTAAAAGTGGAGGTAATTAAGATGCACTTTCAATTGCACTGAAAAATTGTCCTTAACGTAGAAATTATCTTGTTAGTTGAACAAATCTACATAGACTTGATGATACAGAAACTCAAATCATAAAAAAGGGATTATCTTCAGTTTGCCTTCCGTTTTTCAACAGAACAGGAATTATGAAACTACTGAATTCAGAAAGGAAAATATACCTTGTATTCATCATTGGTGTCGGCAAGCCTTCTCAACAACACAATTATTCTCAATCTACAACCATTTTTAGCGGAGCCCAATCGATTCACCAGAGCTTGAATCACACCCTCACTTTCTTCTTCCCCCACTGATCCCTCCCTAATCAAAACCTCAAGCGCCTCAAGCGCACCTAGAAGCTCCTCCTCCTCCCCTCTCTTAACCCTCATCACCACATCCTCAACATCCTCCACGATCTCCCCAACATCCGCCTCGCCGCTGCTAATCCCCTCACTGGTTCCTCTCCTCGAATCGAGCTTCACGGACATCATTTCCCTCTGCAGCGCGCTCATGGCCTCTTTCACATCATCCTCCGCCTCCGTCCAGGCGAGTAGCAAGAGGCCGAGGCATCTCCCAATGTCTTGAACCGACTCCTCGATCAACCCAATGGTCGAAACCGATGACCCCGTGGGCTTCTTCACAAGGGAAAAGGCTCGTTGTAGCGCGGTACGGAGGGAATCGAGCGCCTTCCGCATCGAGAGGGGCGCCGGGGTTTCGCTTTGCCGGAGGTCGACGAGTATAAGCTTGAGGCGGTTGAGGAGGGGTAGGGCTGGGGCAAGTACTCCGGCGGAGGCTTCTTCGAGCGAGTTTAGTACGTCGGATACGAGCGCCGTAAAGCTGAGAGAGGCGCCTGCGCCGGCGAAGGGAAGTGTTTTCCCCATGCCGGGAGGGGTGAGAGAAAGAGAAAAGAGAGGCCTTTTTTGCCTTCTTCGATTTCTTCGAAGTGTAGTGAAAGAAGCGGAGCGGTGGCAATTGGAAAGAACACGAGTAATGGTGGGATAAAGCAATTTGGGGAGGAGACGAGGTCAGCAGGGTGGCAGCTTAGTGACAGCCATTTGCAAAGAAGACTTCCTGGGAGACTGGAGGAAGAGGGCTAAGCAGGACGAGATAATTTTTTTCATTTTAGGATTTGTATGCATAACTCATTATTTTTATATATTTGCAAATCTAAAATTTAAATTCTTATATTTATTTATTTAATATTTAGTATTTAAAAATATAAAAAAAAACTTTAAATAAAATTCGTTTATTTTCTAATAAAATGCTTTATTTCTATCATGAATGCTAGATGCGATAAGGTGGATCTCATTTTGGGTGTCAAAATAGGTTAATGGGTAGGGTTGAAGTCCGACTCGAAGCCCAAGCAATTTAATAAATAGGACAAAAAAAATGGATTCAAATTTGACCCAATAGGGCCCCAATGAGTTGAACAAATCATATGACTATTTTGATTAAAAATAATATTTATAACTTATTAATTATAAAGTTAGATTAATTGGTTTAAAATAAGAAGATTATACTAACAAACATAAGAATAAAGTATTAAAAAAAAGAACAGAAGAAATAAGAAAAAAAATATTAAATGGATCACTTTGAGGTCACAATCTATTTTGTGGGTCAGCTCGAATCCAACCTATTTAAAAAACTGTTCAGAATTTCAGACTCAAATCTAACCCATTTATTAAACATGTTAACTCAAACCTAATTTTTTTAGTTCAAATCTAAGTCAAGTTAACGCATCAAATCAATTTTTTTTTTTTAAACACCATTAGATCTCATGACCGTCTCTTTGGAGATATTATTACGAGCGGTAATCGAACCGTCTATAGGTCAATCATGACACATCATGTCACCCAATATACAGTAAATTGGTGACATGACACATCTTGATTGGCCTCCAGATGGCACCCGGTGACCGCACGCAATAATTTCATGTCTCTTTGACAACTAATTCAATTTAGCAAATTATTTGGTAGGCCAATATTATAATTCTTTAGAATTTTTTCAAATATTCAGATTCTCTTATTAAATAAACAAATAAAATACATTAAATTTACTTTTTATCCACTATTATCTAAAAAAAAGTATTTATGGCATAAATACTAGAATTATTAATTTCCTTTCATCTATTTATCTGTCATAATTAATTTTCTATTATGTATTTAGCCCTAAAATAAGCTATAATTATTAATTTTCTATTATGTATTTAGTTGACTTAAATTAATTTATGACAAAAATATTCTTAATTATTTAAATCAAATTCTGCATATGCTTCATTAATTTAACTAAAAAGAATTTCCAGCAATTATCCAAAATCCACGTGGGGATAATTGGAAGATTTCTTTTTTAGGTGGGGGCAGTTAATATACATATTTTTATAAAAATTAGGTAATCTTATACTTCATTCCAAGATTTGAAAAATACTAAAATACAAAGTTAGGTGTATAAATTTTCCCCTTTGCCGATAAGCCCTCAATCTTGTTTTCTTGTGGATTACGTGGAATGTCATTATGTCATCAAATCTGAATAATTTGCTACCTTATGTGAGAGTAACCTTATTGTTATTATATTATGATTTTTTTTTTTTATAATTGAACTTGTTATTTTGAATCCATATCAAAAAGAGCACTAATCTTGAGGAGAGGCTAATCAATCTCGGATTACAAAATATGTAATACATGTTTGCATTATAAATGTTGGATGGTGTTAGTCAGCGACAATGATCGGATGATAGTAATCGGGGGATGATAGTCGGGCGATGATGTTTCAGTAATAATTAGAGTCGAACGACGGTGAATAGATTTTGACGATCATCTGAAAGTGGTCTGATGATGACAATTATATTATGATAAATCGATAATCAGATGAGAACGATCGGGCGATGATGATGTGGCAATGACGGCCAGGTGATGGCGGTGGCTGATGGTGATCATCAACATCAAATATCAAGTAAAGTTCAAGTGTTCTTCATATTTCCAAGTTCTCCCCAAACTCAAATCTAGATTATTTACATATGAAGAACGAGTGTCTATTAATAGCATTGTACGAACGCCCTTTTCATAAATGAGTGTATTTGTTGGCTTGTCATGTTCCTCTTAAGCCAAGCCTTCGTGTGGGACGACTTTCTCACTACTTCTTAAAGCAGTTTTTTAGTTCAAAATTTTTAATTTTTTAATTAGAAAGCTGCTTCAAGAAGCAGGAAAAAGGCCGTCCCAAACGAAGCCTAAGACCAAATTGGCTTTGATTGAACTGAGCCAACTTGATTTGAACTGAGCCAACTTGACTTGAACTCGCTACTGGACTGACTTAACTTTAAATATTCCAATTTAATCCCTAATTCTGAGCACCGAATGCTATCCATTGAGTGATGCAAAATTAAATTAATTTTAAATTTTAGATTTTATTATCAAGTTTTTTGCCATTAGAAAAAATGGAAAGAGGCAAAGATAATTTCCCAAAAAAAGTTAAAGGCAGAGATAATGACACGGACTAATTAATATAATTATAAAATATTAGTAAATTTAATTTAAAATAGGCAATTTAAGCCTTTTCATACGGTAAAATTATGCTGGGATTTTTATTTTCCAAATAAATAAATCAGATTATAAAATATATTAATCAAAATAATATTTATCTCTTTAATTCTGGTTCCTTAATTAAAAAGCCATAATTAAAAGCTAATTAATTTTTTCAAATTAATTAAAATTTTGAAATTTGACCAAATCAAAAGCTGCTTTGAAGAATGAGTTCCATTAGCCATTAGCTATTGTCTGTAGCGTATTTTCTATTTTTTTAATCTTTTTTTTTTTTTCACTGAGATATCAGACCGAATCAATTGATCAGATTAGACCGAATCAATTGATCAGATTGGACCGAACCGGTCCAAAACCAAGACTGAGATTAGACAAAAATATTAGTTGATTTTGGAATTTGAAGTTAAGGTTTAGAGTGTAATATACAAAATAATATTGTATTATATCGCATATTTTTGAATAATCTATTTGCACTTATCTTCATAAAATTAAATCAACATTCACCTTTAAATAAAAAAAAGAGAGGGACCTTAAAATTATTAAATTTTTAAGAATTTGCAAAACTTTTATAATCCTTTTTAAGATTGTTATCTTGTAAATAGTTAAGTGGTGGAATTTTAGTAATAAGGCTATTACAACAAATATATATTTTATTCATCATAAACAATATGTTATCATGAGGGACCTTAAAATTATTAAATTTTTAAGAATTTGCAAAACTTTTATAATCTTTTTAAGATTTTTATCTTGTAAATAGTTAAGTGGTGGAATTTTAGTAATAAGGCTATTACAACAAATATATATTTTATTCATCATAAACAATATGTTATCATGAATTCAAATGATAGTTTTCTCAAGCATTTAGGATTTAATGTTTTGATTTTTTTTTGTTTGATCTCTCTCTATTTCTATAATGATTATCCTATTCCATCACATACACCAATCGATTTAGTAATTAATGAATTATGTTATTTATCACAAATTTTTATCAATTATCAATTATTTATTATTTAATGGGTATTTAATTTGATGGACTTAGAGTGTAAAGTAGTCTAAATACAAGAGTTTTTAAAATTTTGATGTTTAGTTTGATAATAAAAAGTAATATAGAGTAAAATTTTGATGAATTCCAAATTTATTATGTACATTTTATGTGTATTCAAAACTAATTCATTTGCTACTGAATTTTGAATAAACTGCTAGCTGATTCTGCCATTACCATCGAATGTCGGCCCCCACCGTCGTTTTCTATCATAGGCCTACAACCGCCAACTACCATTACCATCAGTTGCCACTGGCCTCTCACTGCCACCATTGCTTTTTGTTAACGGGCAACATCATCACCGCTAACACTTACCTAAACCACTGACTGTCACTCACCACCACTCGCCCCCAGTCGTCGTCAGTCATTGGCCACCATTATTGTTATGCTTTACATTGCATTTATTATTTCAAACCAAATTAAAACAAAAATCACCTATAATATACACTCATCCAAATAACTCCAAATATTTTAAATGCAATGCATTCATTTTAATTACATTTTATTCAATTTACCTTGGTTTTCCTTCTTGAGCAAAACAAACAGGCCTAAATATAAGAAAATTTATAGAATTTGGGTTCCCAAATTCTCATAATTTTCTTTCCCTAACCATCTGAGCATAATTTCCTCTCATCTCTTATCATAAAACCAAAGGAAAAAAAAAAAGCGATTTTCATGCAATGTTCAGTACATGGTTCAGATCCTCTAAATTTATTTAATTATAAAATATGTGAATAATTCCCAGCATTAAGAAAAACTCTTCATATTCATGACAATAAATCTCTACCAAATCATAACCATATCTTCTTGCAAATAAATAAATTTATTGTATTTAGCAAGTCATTATAATCCTCTACTTAAATACTTGCCAATAATGATATATGGTTTGTTGTATATAATTGTCATACATGATTGCATATAATACAGAGCTTTTTCTTTAACTTCACCAAATTATTGTTGCTCAAGTTCTTATATGATGTCAGAGATTCTAGGCTCCAACGAGTCGATCGCACTCGCTAACTCAATGGCTGATAAAATCAATCTAAATGCCCCATTGACAGACCTTCCTCCACTAGTTTACATCAATCCATCTGCTCAACTCCCACTCAAACTTACTCCTAAAAATTATCCATCATGGCGAGCTCAAATGCAATCTCTTCTTCAAGGATATAATCTTATTGGTTATATAAATGGCGATACTCCACAGCCATCTCTCACACTAAATCAAGAAGGACTTGAAATCACCAATCAAAATCATGCTATTTGGGTTCAACAAGACCAACTCTTACTTCATGCCATATTCACCTCTGTATCCGAACCTCTCATGGCTTATATTGCCTCATCATCATCATCCCGAGATGCGTGGGATAAACTTACTAATTTGTTTGCCAATCGCTCTAGATCACTTATTATCTTTCTTAAAGAAAAGCTATCATTAACAATTCGTGGAAAAAACTCTGTCGCCAAATTTCTCCAAACA